GGGGTAGAAGTGGCTGGCGTGGCAAGTGAGGTTCACTCTCTGATGCACCTGGATGCGGGTCCCATCGGCGTCCATGGTGATCTTCAGGGTGGGGATGACTAGCGAGCAGCGAAAGAGGGGGCTGTTGAGAGGGGCTCCTGCCTGCTCGTCCCCTCCAGGTCTTCCTTTCCCAGGGGCCAATCTAAAGTCTCTCTCTCCCTTTTTAAAGAAATATTTTTTTCTTGTATGCTGAATATTAGGCAGATCGGGCTAACTGTTATTTTTATTAATATGGGTGGAGGGGCTGGGCTGTCTGGCATATTCTTTTCAATAAGTTTGAAAATTTTTATATCATAAAATACAATTCTAAGGATGATTGAAAGATCATGCCCATGAGGACAGGGACTTGTCCCTCGCTCTGTCACAGCACTTAGAACAGGACCTGGCGTACAGTGGCTCCTCATGGCTTATTGAATGAATGATAGTTAAAATCAAAAACAGAATAGCAATGAAATGAATAGAACACAGATATTCGGAAAGGGAAGTTGGGCCAGACAACTGCAGAATAAAAATCAGGTCACGGTAAACAAGTGAGTGCCGGGCATCGTTCTAAGTGTTTTAGAAGGAATAACTCATTTAATCTTAAAAGGAACTTTACAAAGCAGGTCTTAATTTTATTCCCATTTTATGAGGAAACTGAGATATGCCCAAGGTCATACAATTTGTAAGGTGGCCTAGGGACAAAACCCAGACAGCTAGCCTCAGACACCCATGGTCTCCCATCATGTATATGACTAAATTTATTGATCTATTTATGGGCAGTGGTGGAGATTGAACCCAGGGCCTCCCGCATGCCGGACAGTACTTGACCACTGAGCCACATCCCCTTGGGACCTACACTTATAATCCCTGTACATGTCCATCAGGGACAGAAGGGAAGAATGTCCAGTTCCCATTTGTGAAATAGGGATTCAGGCAAAAACCCCAAAGCCCATGCCGCCCCCACCACACTCTACCACCCACTCACCTTGGAGCACTTCAGAGAGATTCAAGGTCATCTGCAGGGGCTCGGCGAGGTCCCCGTGGGTAACTTGGCAGGTGATCTGAGACAAGACCTCTTTTCCCGTCAGTGACACCAGTGCCTTGCTGGTTACGAAGTACCTGCCTTTGTCATCGGTCATCTGAGACTGGGCTGAGGGTGGATGTTCATCACTGTCCTTCAGCCAGGTGACATTGAAGTTTGTGGAGCTGAAGGGGCCAGCCGTGCAGTTGAAAGGCACTGAATTTCCAGGGGTGGTCCTCTGAGATGGGCCCGTCAGGGAGATGACCGGCTGCTCCCCAGCTGCAAAAGAGAGGGGTTGTGGGGCGTGCTGAGGGGGGACAGATCCAGGAGGCGATAGACACGCCCAGGACTCTGCACCCAACTGACTTCTCTCTCCCTCTTTTATTTGGGGGTAACCAGGGATTGAACTCAGGGGCACATGACCATGGAGCCACATCCCCAGCCCTATTTTGTACTTTATTTGGAGATAGGGTCTCCTTGAGTTGCTTAGTGCCTCGCTCTTGCTGAGGCTGGCTTTGAACTCGTGATCCTCCTGCCTCAGCCTCTCAAGATGCTGGAATTACAGGCATGTGCCACTGCATCTGGCTCTTTCCCTCTTTCATTCCTGGTTTCCACCCTCTCTGACCCAGAGCTGGCATCGGGGACTCTGGGCTCCTCTTTTACCTCCAGCCCGGCCTCTCGTCCTGGGTCCCATGTTCCTCCCTTGACTCCCAGGCTCCCGCCATCGCCCTTTCCCACAGTCTCCACACTGAGAAAAAGATGCCAAACAGCCCCTGGCAGGCAGGGAACCGGCTCAGCCAGGTCCCAGCCTCAGCCTCCCCCTGGACAAAAGCTGGCTCCATCTGGTAATCCTGGGGGCCTCCTGTCTGCTCTGAGGGTCTCCACGGACAGGACTCAGGACTCACCTGTGAGTCTCAGCAGGAGGGTGAGCAGGAGGGTGACCAGGGCCTGCCCAGGGGAGGCAGACATGGTGAGGTACCTGGCGTCCCTGACCTGTGCTGGTGGCAGCCCTGGATGAGGCTCTGCAGGGACCCAAGAGCCACTGCCTGGTCTCCTGCCAGCCTGGGACTACGTTATATTTCCCAGCTGCCCACTCCCAGCCAGACCTGGAGAAGTGGTCACTGTGGCAAAAGTCCCCATCCAGACCCCAAACCCACAGCTGCCGCAGTGTCTGCAGCCTGTGGTTGGGTGCTGACTCTTTCTGGTGCCCCAAGGGCCAGACTGGGGCAGGGCTGAGCTCCACCTTGAACCTCAAGGCCAGCTAGCTCTGTGTCCTCTGATACATAAGCTGCGGGGGCCCCTCTTCTGGAGGCTTCTCCATAGTGGGACCACGGAGAGCCTTCTCTGTCCCAGGGATGGCTTCTGGAAATACAGAATGGATCGGATAGGATCCCAGGAGGGTTGGTGACATGAGCTGGGACGAATGTGACCAAATGCAATGAAAACAGCAGGAACCGTGCAACGCCCCCTCTGGCCTCGACTTAACTAGAGCATCACGACATGGACCGGGCATTTCCTCTTGCCTGGAATTGTCTCGTGGATTCCAAGCTGAGAAAAATGAATTTGAAGCGCAGCCAGAAATTTCCCTGCCCTTGGTCTCTCTCCACCCCTTCTCCACTCTATCTGGCTTCCCAGAGCTTCCCCCGGGATTGTTTGGGGCCTGTGTTCACCATGAAAACCTTTGCCAGGAAAATGCTGCCTTTGGTTCCCTGCTGTAGCCAGCAGCCAGGGCACACCTGGGCACAAAGAATTCACCCCAAAACAATGAGAGGATCTTCAGGGCAAGGAGAGCTCAGGCTGACCTGAAGCAGCCAGGCCCAGCCTGCTCCGTCCCCTAGCTCCTGTGGGGTGTACACTCAGCTGGTGCCAGGGGGAGGCTGAGAGGAGCTGTCATCGCGGGGGGAGGGCTGTCCTGGAGGCCCCCCTCCCTCACCACCTCTCCTAGCCAAGCGAGACAGAGGGCATGGGTGCCTGTTGGCAGAGGCGCCTCTGTCCCCAGGTGTGTCCTGCGGCCGACAGCGGGCTTGTGGATCTATCTTCATGGCTCCCTGAGCAGGCGGAAAGGGGAAGTGAAAAGAGACGCCAAGCAGAGACAGGGTGGACTTCCTCCTCGCAGAGTGGCAAGGGGCCCTCGGAGAGGCCTGCCCTGGATGAGGGTGGCCAAGCTTGGAGCCTCCTGTCTGCGGCCCATTCTGGAAGGCTGAGTGCTGGCCAGAGGGCCCAGGAGCAGAAGATGCAGCATGGACTCCAAGCTGGGCACAGCCATGCACCCCCAGGGCCCTCCCGAGCGCCTGGGCCTGTGCTCCAGGAGGCACCTGGCCTCCAGACTCCACCCACAGTGAACAGGGCTGCTGAGAGGCCTCCGCTTCCCCTGACTCCCCTCCCAGAGGGCAGAAGGAACCCCTCCCCCCGGGGAAAGGCAGGAGGAACCCAGGAACACCTCACCTGCACCCCTCTTTGGTCCCTCTTCATGTCACAGGGGCGGCACAGGGAAAGCATGAGGGCAGGAGGTCTGTGCGCTCTGATCTGGACTAGTCAGGACCAGGCCTCAAACAGGGCCTGAGTAGCTATTTCCAAAAGTTTGGAAACGATTCGTCCTTTGTCATCCATCAGTTCCACTTTGTAGAGCACAGTTCTGCAGGTACGCAGTCAGGTGGGAAGAGTTTAAGGGGCCAGAGGGGGGAAGGAAGGAGAAATTTGACAGAGCTGAGTTGCAAACAGGTAGAAGAAACCAGCGCAGGTGTGCACCCCAGCAAAGTGCACCTGTTACAAAGGGGCTGCACCTGCTCAGCACTTGCTCAGGTTTCCTCACCTGTCCAAGCCTAAATGTAGTCAAATGAACTAAATTAGTTAAAATCAATTTCACCTGATATAACATTTAATCCAATAGACAGTCGTCATGCAAACAGCATTGAAAAATTGTGATATCTTCCATACGTTTTTCTTTAGTCTGAATTTCCTACAAAGTGGAATGTCGTCTTAACAAATCAATAAAGTGGTGTTGAATGAACAGCAACAAAGAGTTGATAGTGCTTTAGTTTTTCAGTGCCCAATATTAATTAAAATTAAATAATATTAGCAGTTCAGTTGCTCAGTTTTGCACTAACCAGGTTGTGAATGCTCAGTAACTACACATGGTTCTGGCCACCATATTGGAAAGAGAGCTCTTGGTGGCCTTCCTCAGGAAAGCCTACCTGATACCCCAAATGGGTCCAGGCACTTCTCTTGCATAGCCTTTATCACGGCCGTATGAACATTTTCATTAGTTGCATTGTGACTGTTACCCTTAATAGATTCTAAGCCCCGGAAGGCAAGGACCATGTCTTTAGCCCACTACTGTGAATAAGTGCCAGGAATCCAGAAGGTCTTCCATGAATGTTTGTTGGATGGACAGATGGATCCATGGAGAGATGGTTGTACCCATGGACGGATAGATGGATGGACGGACGGACAGATGGACTCGTCCCTGGATGGACAGACTCACGTGTGCTATGGAGAAAGTGGAAGGAGGACACACTCCCGGTGAGAAAGCAAAGAAGGCCTCTTGGAGGAAGGGCTTGGCCTTCAGGGGCTCCTGCACCTGCTCCTCAGCCTCCGCCACGCCATCTCCGCAGGAGGAGGCTGGTCATGCCGAGACTTGGCCGCAGAGGGTGGGGAGCTGTGGGTGGCCAGCCCTGTGAAGCTGGCAGGCTTGAGGAGAAGTGGGGAGATCAGAGTTCTCCTGTGGGTGCCCTGGGACGAGCCAAGGTACCCACAGGGCTCCCCCCAGGCTGGGCCGCTGGGCAAGATTCGGTTTTCTCTGGGGGGAGCTGTGCCAGGCTTCTTCCTGATTCCAGTGAGAACTGGATCCCACCCCCTCAATGCTTGTGGGCGCCGTTGTTATGACTGTGGGCCCCTATCCTCCCCAGAGGGACCAAGGGACCAGAGAGCGACAGAGAGGAAAGATTCATCAGCTGTCCTTGAAGTCTGATTCCTTGCTCCGGGGACCCATGGAGATTCTTCATCCTCGCCCAGGCTTAGAGGGGGCTCGGTTCAGCATCGCCTTAGGGCTCACGTCACTCTGAGGCTCCCGCAAACAAAAATGCTCATCTCTTCCCAAGAGGGTGACCAGACCGTCTGAGGGCAGGGCCCTTCCTTGTTCGCCGGCTCCCTGCTGAAGCCATCAAGGCTTAGCACGGTACCACGTGTCACAGGAAGTCATCTCCTTATCGATGGACTCATTCCCCCGACTCCTAACAGAGCGTCAAGGATGCACCAGCTGCCACTCCAGGACTGAGAGGTGAGCTGTGGACACACAGGTCTCTGTCCTCAGCGGGCTCCATTCCAAGGGGGA